TACACGAAGATCATCATTATGACTCACGGAGAAAAAAAAAATAATCATTGTAAATTCCATCTTGATCTTGAGGTTTATGCTTGAAAAAATTCCTTAAATGTTGTTTTTCAATATCTTTTCATAAACATCATTTGCATGTACTTCAAAGTAAATCTTTTAACCTCACCTTGCTCTTTAAAATCACATCACATTTGAGAATAGATCGAAAGATATTTATTACAAGTCTAATTGCATTTTTACTTTCATATGCAGTTACGTCTCATGTTGTGCCTTACTTGTCGAACAAATTAGAACTAGAAATATTATTTTCTGTATTTTGCTTCCTCATTTCACAGTTATATATAGGCGAGGGACAGAATGTTACTGACTGATCGGCAAATTCTAGCTAGAACACACCCAAAAAGACTTGACGCTAACGACAGGCAAGAAAAAAAAATTATTTTTATTGGAATTTTGTTCTAAAGTGATATTATCCTTGTTAAAATCGTGAATCTATATTTACTTAGTAGGTCTATAGAACACAATTGACTTGATATTTTGAAACATGTCTTACGAAGTATGTATCTGGAATTCTGATCTATATGGAGTTACTTACTTAAAAAATAAAAGAGTGATTAATTTGTGGATTTATTTTGAAAGTTATCATACCTATAAAGTTAATAATGGATTGATCAAGTTTAATGGCATGTTGTAACGGTTTAGATTTGGAACACGTGTTCTGGAGAAAAATTAAAAAAAAACTTAGAGGTGGATAAAGGTTACGAAATATGGATTTGGAGTTATGGGGTGTAATAAAGTATGATTCAAGTATAAGAGACTATTTTCTTCCAATATCTTTAAAGTCATCAATCTCAATTAATGCATGGGATTTAGGAAGAAGGTGGATAAACATTCTTAATAAAATTAATTCCTTCAAAACCTATGATTAAAGATCTTATAAACAGTAATAATTCCTAGAGCTAGATTTAAGCATAAAGCTACTCTTTCTATAGAGATGAAATTGAAAAACTATTTTGAATTAAACTTTAAATTCCCGTGAGCAACAAAAACCCATTTCTGCAAAGATTATTTCAAACTTTAAGCAAAACCTCACTGGCATTTTACATTGACTAATCTAAAAATCAAAAATGAAGAAGAGGAAAAGATTCCAATTATAAGTTAATATTCCATTTGTTCAAAGTTTATTTTTTAATGCAAAAGATTTAAAGTCATTGATAAATTTAATAATCGATCATTAAAAAAATTCTCCATCTTCTTCGAATTCATAATCTGAAAGACCTCAATATGGATCACTCAGAAACAAAAACATCCATAATTCATGCACTGCAAATCCCAAATGCCAATCTGTACATTTATTAATGATGTTATTCTATTAGACATAACATAACTTTTTTGTTAAACTAAATTGATTGATTTCAACGCTCAGTCACAAAAATAATTCAGTCTAATGAGCTTTTTCGCAGGCAGCATGGCTAACAGGACTGAACTGTATAATTGAGCAAGAAAGAAACATTTGTCCACCATCATAATAATAATTTTCAGTATGTGCATATTATTTCGATTTACTAGAATGATTTTTGCGAAGAAAAATGAATCGGATTTAGCCTATAATAAAAATAGTTTGCATGCTGCATATATTAATTTAGAAATTTATGAGCAAGCATGCATAGAGTAATTTTATCTGAATCAATAGCCAAAGCATATTTACGAGGCAATAAAAAGAACCGATATTCAATTTGCCATGAACTCAAATAAGAAATTTCGTCATAACATGAAGTGTAAAAAATTTAATTTTAACTTCCACCTTCTTTTTCGTATATATGCTATTCTCACATTTATACTTAATATATATTGTGCATATGGGAGCAGTGAGCAATATGCAAGGTCAATAAAAAATCTATTTGAAAGTTAAACATTTAAACTATCATTTTTCATGATGTGTTGCGAAATGTGTAGCATTACTCTGTATTCTTACACTTTGCTTTATATATTTTTCCTACTGTTCATTTTTCAGTTCGATAGTTTTACCCCAAGATTATTATTATTATTACAGTTATTGGTGGGAAGTAGATATAAATCTTTTTAAAGTTGTCATAAATTTACTGTTAATTTCGAAACTTTTCTTGCTTTGCCGTATTTCCGTGAAAAAATTACTCGCTGATTCATTTTGACTGATTTTTGTTGTTTAACAACTCGAGAACTATGTAAAATTGTTCGTTGCTGGCTAGTTTCTATTTGCAAATTAAATATTGAGTAATACAAGCTGTTATTGAGTTTAACTTTATTTAATTTACGAGAACATCGTTATTGACTATGGATAATTGGCCTGCATTACACATTATGCCGTTAAGAATGCAGATATGACACATTACTTTATTTATAATTTGATAACTTGTATGCTACTGGAATGCTCATGTTCCTTATAAATTCAAACATGCATAAATTATGACTCATAACTTATGATCTCAGTCATTGTCAGGTTCAACAAACTGCGAATAAGACAGAAACTTGAAATGCGAACCTTGACTAATAAGCTTTCCGATCGTACTTTTTTTTTCTCGTGTGAAATGTGATCGATTGATATAAGTAGTGTGTGTTGTATGATTGATGAATGTCAAAGTTAGGGACACATGGTAAATTAATTCTCTTGTGGTCATTCAATTAGAGAGCAGAAATTAAATCTTAAATGATATTGAATTTTAGTTTCTAAGGTCAACTTTAGACTGAGTGTCATGTTTGTTTTGGTTTTGAGAAGAAAATGTAATTAGAGACGTGACTTGAAAGAAGTTTTAAATGAAATGCATGAGATACATTTGAGGTAAACAACTGAGATATGAGTCAGTAATGAAGGAGTGATAGGCATCTGAAGTTGAATGTTGGTTTTAAGGTTTATTGAGAAGAGTTTTTGTGAATGTTTTTTTTTTTTTTTTTTTTTTTTTTTTCCATTTAGACATTTTCAATTTATTGGTATTTTTTTCCGTTTTTTTGTGCTCCTTTCCTTAGTAAGGAAAAAGCCTTTTCAAATGAATGTTTAAACTTTTGGAACTTAAAACTTGAATAATTATGATTTTAGAGAATTGATGTTTAGAATCATTGTTAAACCAGATTCTTATGCATTGAATAGGAAGTAGATAATGCTAAAGGCAGTAATAATTAAAACTTTCTGTAATCTGGTTAAAAAGGAAGCAAACATTTAAAATCTGAAAGATTTTATTATCTCATAAAACTAAGCATGATAATATCCAATATTAATTGATTAAGTGATTTGCCCTCTTTAACATGGACTTGATCTTTAGGTCCGACTCACAATTCACTGGTTGATGCTTCATTTGTTTATTGATGATTGAAATCCTTTCTTTCTCGCGATCATTGATTATAGACTTATTGACCTGAAGTTCATAAAATAATTATCCGGATTGCAATGATTCATAAAAATTCCATACGGGGAAGTCAATGCGAATGTCTAGTCAATTATGAATAAAAGGATAGTTACGCAACATGGCAGGCTTAAAAAGCCAATCCTATAAATGCCATATATTTTTAAAGTATATCATCTGATTTTGAATTTATTGTTTATAATTTTATCTTTTGAAAATTAAAATTAAAATGGTTTGACAGACAGAGGTGAATTTAGATGATTGGTTGTGCAGGGGGGGGGGGGGGGGGGGGGTTTCGAGTACGACTGAAAATTTTCAATCAAATCTTATTTAATCTGAGGCTATCGATAACACTTTATTAAATTAGAGTAGTCAAGGGGCCGTTCACTTATTACGTTACGCAAAAAAATTTTTTCACCCCTCACCCCCTTGTTACAATATGTTACAACTCACACACCCCCCCCCCCCCCCTGAACGTTCATAATTTATTTTATTTTGATAATTTTTTATATATAGTTATTAAAAACATTTATAACAAAAACTATGCATTGCTTAGCTATCAAAAGTGATCTGGACATTCATAAATCATTAAAAAGGTGGAAAATTTGAAAAAATGTTTTTTGTGTGAATTTGGAAACAAATTTTTTTCGTGAACTTTTTTTTATTGAACTTTAGTGAACTTTAGAACGTTACATACTTCTTGACACCCCCCCGCCCCTATGTTACATTTTGTTACAATTTTTCCTTACTTCGATCCTGTTCATAAAAATTACAGTACAGACAGTCTAATCAAGATATATGAATCATAAATTCAATAAAGCATTAAATTTGTTTGTTCCAAATTACTTATAAAAAAGTGATTACATATTTTTGGGCTTTAAAAAATTATGACAAAAAAAAACTCGATCGAGAAGGATAAAATATGAAGTCATTCTCATTTTTTTTTGTTCCTTAATTCACGGATTACGTTTTCTTAATTCAATATTTTTTAATAGCCGTTATATGTAGCTTTTTTGTTCATTTTATTAAATTTAATAATTATTGTTTCTTGAGCATTGTTTTTTAATTGTTTCGTTTTAATCCTGTTTTAATCAAATTGTGCCCGGCTTCAATCTTCTGTTTAACCATGTCAATACTCAATTTATAAAAACTACATATGGATAGAGTTCTGAATTACTAAATCCCATGCTATTAATATCAATATTCTGTGCAGAATAAAAGTGTGAAAAATCAACAATAATGAATAGAATGGATTGTAAAAAAAAACAAATTAATTAAAATTGATTTTTTGTTTCGGTCAGCGCTGTTTGATGATCCTTCTGTTGTAAGCATATAATCGATTAAGCATGCATATTAAAGCTAATTTTTGAATTTAATTGTTTTAAAGATTTGGAATGAATTAGAAAGTATTGACATTTTATTTTTGAATTTAAGCACTAAAGCAATCCAAATTCCTATTATTTATGCTCATATTCATGCTGAAAAAGCAGTTTTTACAGAAGAAAAAACTGCGAAAGTTCAAAAAATAACGAATTTTTATTTTTCAAATCTAAAACAATTTTTTTTTGAACAAATGACATTCCCTTTGTTTTTGTTTGGGATTTTTCAATAAATATTAAAACAATGGAAGAAGAGACGAAAATTGATTTAAATATTAAAATAAAGCAGGAAAAGCTATCTCCAGAGCGTAAAACAGTAGATAATGAAGAGGACGAGCTTGATAAGATATTAAATTCAAAGATATTCAGTGAGACTGACGAGAAAAAAGATTTAGAACCAGCAAAGTGTGTTAAAATTGTTTGTTATTATTGTGAAAGTTAATTATTAATGCATGATTTCTCATTTCTAGAACAAGCGATGAGTTATTACAAGAGTTATTCGGTGTAATTGGATATTCAGGTGTGGATGTAAATGAAATATTCAATGAAAGTGATAAGAAAAAGAAGAAGAAGAAAAAGCGAAAACATGAAGATTCTGATGATGAAAAATCCAGTAAGAAATTAAAAAAAGTTAAAAAGGAAAAGAAAATCAAAAAGGAAGGCGACCGTGACAAAAAAGATGAATCCAAGAAGATAAAACAGGAAAAAGAAGAAATTACAGAGCGAAGGAAAGTTTCAATTGTCATTAAAGATACCAAATATAAATCAGAAGTAAAAAAACCGACTAGCAGCCGTGAAATAAAAGTTTCAGAGTAAGTTTTCCAACTTTAAATTATTTAAAGTCTTTTTTAAATTTGAATAATTGACGGTTTTCAAAAATTTGAACTTCTCGATAACGTTTATCTTTTTAATTATCATGTCTAGTAAGAAATCCAGCAGTAGCTCACACTCAAAACATAAAGACAAGGATGATAAAAAGCGAAAAGAGAAGAAAGAAAGGAGACGTAGCGAGAAGGAATTATCAGATATTTCACTTTCCGACGAAGAGACATATCGGAAACATTATGAATATCACATGAGTTCACGCTGGGAAAAAGAATCTAGAGAAAACAGAAATATTCGAGACTGGGATCGTGATAAGAGACGATACGAGAGAAGTCGAGATAGTCGCGAGAGATAGTAAGTACAATTTATTTTATTTCTTATGTCAATTTTCAAATTTCCGAATATTCAGCATAATTTATGCTATACACTCGATACGAATCTTATTTTTAAGCCATTTTTGACAGTCCCCAAATACTCTAATATGCAAAGTGCTTGTTTTTAAACAATTTATTTCTACAGTTCGCGACATTATCGACATTCAAGGTCTAGATCGCGTTCAGGACGAGGACATACGCCAATTGATAAGAAAAGACTTTTAGAGATTGCTAGGAAGAATGCAATTTCAATGCTTAAGAGTGGTACATTACCTCGAATCAGCTCAAATGCTAAGGAAAAATTGATGGCTAAAATTAGACACGGTGGAAAAACCATTGAGGAACTCACAAATTATTGCAAGAAGCTCTCGAGAGCAGAGGATATAGGAGAATTATCAGACTTATCGGATAGTGAAATTGACGGTGAAGGACATCCTAGAGCTTTTCATCATCCATTTGAAGTTAAGGATCGCGGTCCGATTGTTATGAATATTAAGGTACTTAAACTTTTTGGCTAATTAATAAATGAAAAATAACGGTTTTTTGAAAATCAAAATTGAAAGCTTTATAAATTATCAAAAATGTCTCAAAACCGCACAAACTCTTTGCAAATTTCAAAACATTTGAGAGGTTCTGATAAATTGTCAAAAATGTTTCAAAACCGCACAAATTCTTTGCAAATTTCAAAACATTTGAGAGGTTCTGATATAGTATCACTTAATGTTGATCTCCTGACATGATGTGTAATTTTACAATATTAATAACTTCTCTTTCACCCTTCAGAACTCAATTCCAATAGCACCAAAGCCAGCAAGTGAATTAAAAGCAATAATGGCACAATTTCCAGTATCGTCAGGAAAGCAGCATCAATCAGTAGAAAATACATGGGTTCCAGTAACAACAGCAACAGCTGCAGCCACATCTAGCACAGCAACCACAACAACAACGTCTAATTCATCATCAAAACAAATTATGACCCTTCAAAAACAAATCCAAGAGCAATTGCCAGAATTAGCAAAACCAAAGCCACTTCCACCGCCTCCTGCTCCGCCTTTAAATCCTGTATTAAGCAGACCATATGATTGGAAAAGCGATGATCATTACTGTAAAACTATTTTTCCGACTTTAGCGCCACCTCCAGAGGTAAATTTTATAGCTATAAAGTAAAATATGAAATTTTTCATGTGGATTTAATTTTCTAGCCAAACTGTGACGTCTCGGAAATTATTTCACAACGACTAAATGCCATGAGGAAACTTCAAGAAAATCCACATGACGTTGAAGCATCAAAAATTCTCTACGAAACTCAACAAAATGTAAATTGCAGCAATAAATTTCTCGAGAAAACTTTGTCCATTAATGATTAATTTACTTTTACAGATGTCTGCATGGGCTGCCTCAAAAGTTACGCCAGGACAATTTCTCGGAACTACAGAAGTTAGAGTGCTCTCTCAAAAGGAGCTTTCGTCTGGAAATCAAGCGTGGGCTAAGAAAAATCAATTAATAGAGACTGTTCCGTAAGTGAATTCATAAAATTTTGTGGCTAAAAGATTGGTTTCATGAATGATTGACTTGCTTATTGATTGATTGAATTTGGAAAAGTCTGACTTGATAACTAAAAATTAAAATTATTTGTGTCTAGATGTTCCAAAAAATAACGTATTTCAAATATTCAAATTTTACCGGTTTTCAAAAGTTTAAATTTTGTAGTTCAAAATTTGAACTTATACTGAAATTCAAACTAATATTGACCGTTCATATACGAAAGTAGATTATCATCACGATAAATGTCAGTTCCTTTCCATAAAAATGCGTTATAATCATAAATCACACATTGTTCTATCCACGAAGTTTTTTCAATTTCCATAAAAGAATCAAAGTTCATGAAAAAATTTGTGCTCGTGGCATTTATGATGATGTTGTTGATTTGCTGTTTATGGTTGGCTAAGTACCAGATATAGCCATGTTGTTATTTTCTTTGATATCCAAACATCCGTCCATTAATTATTCGTTTTATGGCGATATTTTTTTGAGAAATTCTATGTTTATGTTACAAATTTATTTTGTCATAATTTAGAGTAAATTCAGGCATGGGTATGCATCTATTAAAAAAGATGGGATGGACTCCTGGTAAGTTATTACATCTAAGAAGGAAATTAATTTTTTTTTATAATTTATAAATTTCTCATAAACAGGCGAAGGTTTAGGAAAGGAAAAGAACGGATCTTTAACTCCCTTATTATTAGAACTGAAGCTTGATAAAAGAGGTTTAGAGGCTAATGCTGAAGTAAGATAAGAAAAAAAAAGTTTTAAGAAAGGAAATTTAATTGATTGCATCATAATCGCAGGTATTACGTCAAAATAAGGTAGCGCCAGGAAAATCAAGAGGCGTTCGAGGTGGAGTAGGAAGAAGTGGAGGGGGTCACAAACAACAACCTATTTCAATGGATAGCTTGCAACAAAAACATCCGGTTTCACTGTTGGGTGAATTGGCTTCAAAACGTCGTTGGGGAGCTCCAAATTATCAACTTGTAAGCGAAGTTGGACCGCCGCATGCGAAAAATTTCATTTTTAAGGTAAAGTCAATATTAGCATAAACAATTTTGCCTCGTATTTAAATTAAATTTTCCATTCCGACAATAGGTCACGTTAAATGGAATTGTTTATACATGTCCTGCGCCAGCGAATAATAAGAAAGAGGGAAAATCAGCAGTAGCGAAATTCTGTTTACAAGAACTGGGAATATTGCCATCTTAAGGCTATAATAATATTTTATAGTCATGTCGTTATGAATTCGAAGATCAAGAATCATGAAAACAAAATATGAAGAACGTATTTATGGCAAAATTTTCGAAAGAATCGTTCATTTATTATGATTTTATGTTGCCGGAAAGTTACACGGCAACATTTTTGATAATAAACATTGAAATGTAAATATTTCATTAATTTGCTTTTAGAGGCTCTAGATTTTCGACAGTAACAAAAGTCACTTTTGTTCTGTTGAAAATTAATCTTGTAATTTATGGTCAAAAATGACGGATTTTTGAAATTCAAAATTTAACGGTTTTCCTAGACTTAAACTTCTTTGGATTTCTTTAGGTTCAAATTCTGAACTTTATCGGTTACAAAAAAAAATTTGAATTGATAAAAACCGTTATGACCATAATGAGTATCTAAAAAGTGTGTTGCGTGATTTTTGTAATCAATTAATCAACCCTCAAGCATCAATAATAAAAAAATACAAAAATCACACAACAACCTCAAAAAGAATGAAATCGCTAATTTAATTTCACGCAATTTATCTGTAAGGTAGCATCTGTGTGTGAACATCCACACACTGATTAATCCTTAATCCATCTCAATTAAATGCGTGAAACATAATTAATCAAATATTTATTACATTTTGTTTTATTTGCGATTCTTTCGAAAGATTTTTTCACAATTTATTACTTTTTTAAAAACAAAAAAAATATTCTCTGAAAAATCTCATCGTAAATAATATGATAAATTGACAAATTTGATAGGATGAAGAAGATACTTTGTGAGTTATGATAAAAGTTAATTTTTATAAAAACAGTGAAAGTCTAACTCGTTGGAATCAGATGCCGGAAGCAAGGTATGTTTTTAGCATTAAATTAAACCGTAAAGCTTTTTGCCATTGTCGTAATGTTTAATTTACGTGAAAAAAAAATTATTTTAGAGCAAATTGAATTGATTTAGACGTTTTTGAAGCATAAATTCTCTCCTTAACGGTACTTTGTGCCAAAACCCCTTTAATTTTAAGTAATCATGTTTACAGGCAATTTTCTCTCTGTTCGCTCTTTTGATAAAGTTAAATACTTTATCTCAAGTACGCGAATGTGATGTGTGTTTATGCTATCTTTTAAAAAAAGCCTTTAAAACGCTTTCGATCGATTAAATATTCATATTTATTTTAAACTTTGTTTTTTCTTCCTTCACATGTACCTTAATACATTTTGCAAACAATGTGCAAATATTTGTATTATATTTAAAAAATAATATTCTCCTCTTATCTCCGTTTATATATTTTTGGGTGATTAACATAACCATAACAAACAATGAGAAACTTTTTTTTAAGTGAACAACATATTTTCCTCGTTTTGTGATGAACAGAACTTGAGGGGAAATTGTTGTGTAATCAAAACGCATTTTTGCTGGACTTAGAACTTTTTGAAAGATTTTAAGTTTAAAATTTGAAGCTTTTATTAATAATCCAATTTTCAACTGTTATAAGAATTTACAAATTGAAATGTTCATCAAAGCATAGTTCAGAATTTTAAGAACTTAACGGATATTCAAAATTGGTTTTTTTAAAATTTAAAATTCAAATTTGAATTTGATTTCAACTTAAAGTACAACCATAAGTTGAAATAAATAAATTAAAAACTTCAAATAAAATCATTAAAAAATTCAAAAGCTGCTAATCAAAGTCAACAAGCATCCTCAAGTTCAGCAAAAATGCGTTAAAAACAATTCCAATTACAAAAATGAGATTTTTCAGAGAAATATTTTTCTACGTCTCTTTTTCAATTATAATTTAATACATACTTAGTGCACATATTATTTCCCTCTAACACATTCATCTACAATCCCTCTAGCCATAAATCTGTAACACAAGAAAAAAAAGAAGAAATTTTTAACGAAATAAAAAAAGTTTCATGAAAATACAAAAGAAAACTGAGCAAAGAGACTTAATGTTGTATATTTAGTAAATTTTGTCTTTTGTCATTCAAATTTTTATGCTGTCGTCGACTCGAGAAAGCCAAAAAAAGTTTATGTACATTAAAAACATGTGGAAGTTGTAGAAAAACATTTCAGAGAACGGGAAAAAATCAGTGACAATAAATTTTCGAATCATGCTGGTGACTTTTTTTTTCTTTTATTCCCTTTTTCTCAGAATTTTATTTTTTCCCTCCTTTTTTTGTTGTTCATTTAAAAAAAACTTTTTTATTTTATTTTCAAACTCAGTCGGATGTAAAATGTCTTATTTAAAGGTTTAAATTCTTCCCTACGTACGTCTAATATCAGAAATAAAAGAAAGTTCATATCAAGTATGTCGAATCTTTTGTCAGTTGAAAATACTTTTAATGTATTTACCGGAAAACAAGCTGACTCTTGTCACATCCTCGCTTCCTCCTTTGCTTGTCTTCCTCGTTCTGAACATTATAAAAGTATTTTTCAACTTTATTTTAACCTTAAAATTATTTAATTGTCTTGTATTTTGTCTTTTTGTCCATTCATTTGATTGTCGAGTAGGACTTCATCTAGTTCAAACTTTAAAGTTGTGGTTCTGCCTGCTGAAACTACCTGGAGACTAATTTCCTTTGTTTAAACTATTACACACCTCAAGACTCCCTTAACAAAATTTTTATTCCAAACATACTTAATTGCGCTTCTCGACAGCCTCAACCCATCACTGTCTACACAAAAATTTTCCATAAGACTAGCTGAAAAAAGTTGATATTGTTTTTTTGACTTTTTGATGCTTAAATCGCTTTCTCTATTCTTATATCAATGATATTCTGTGTCTGATTATGTCGAATCATAGCTTGATATGGCAGATAAATCCGGGGATTTGTCGATGATTTGCAAAATGACTGGTAACTGTTCCAAATGACATAAATCAACGAAATCAATAAATTGGATGTCTAGCTACTGTATTCTTTTTGTGTTGGAACCAACACGAGCTTTTTTTGTGGATAATGACGTAATGTGAGATTTTCTGCTGATACTTCTAAGAGTTAAGTGCCTTGCTGGTCGAATAAGTAAGGCGCTTGGCTCAAATTTGAGATGGTAACTCGAAGGTCGTCGGTTCGAATCCAGCCATTTCGAAATTTGTTATTTTTCGGAAGTTTAGATACTTCGACTGCTTAATGTAGGAGATCAAGCCATAATTGGGCATTTGGAACGAGAGCTACAAGATTACCCACGAATGGAATATTGTTAGAACGGACCTGAAAAGTATCACGTCACGCCTACAGAAGATCGAAACGAGAGCCTTAGTTTATTTGAAACCTAGATTTGAAGATTAGAAGTCTGATCCTACATAATATTAATTCATATGTATACAAATACAAAAGTGTAAAATGTGAATTATTACCGGACAGTATGTCGTCAATAAATGCAATAAAGTGCAATTAAAAAATGAAAAAAAGAGCATTAAATGTGTAAAGATTAAATGATTGTTTGTAGGAATTCTCTTCTTCTTAGAAAGGATTCGTCTCAATTCGCCTCAGCTCATTCTAATTTGCTTCAGCTCGCCTCAATTCGCCACAGCTTCAATCATGATGCCTTTTAAGTCTAGTTCAAAATATGTGGATGTCAACAGCATAAGCAAGTTAATTACGACTGTACCGAAACACTTACAAGCTTTATAAATTATTTCAAGCACTGAAAGGCTTTTGTTTCATCTAGAATTAATCATATAAAAATTTTAAAACCTCCCAACAATTGGCACATAAAGTAAATATGTACTTTTGTTTAAAAATCCTCCCAGCAACTTCAATTCCACGCTAAATAAACATCCATTCACGAGCTGCAAAATCATTACATAAACTCCGAGCATTGTTTTGATTAAGTTTCATTTTTCATTGTAAATCCGTGGATGAATGAGTTTACAGAATCATAAAAAGGGAATTGTTTCGAAAAACTCACAGACAGAATAAACTGTCTTTTGTGCGATTGCCAACATACTTTGTACTATTGCGACACAAGTATTCTTCAGTTAAGGGAAACAATTATAAGGTTCTGTAAAGAATTTCTATTCAACTCTGCTTTATTCTTCCTAGAAAGCTATTATGACAAATTCACAGCTCTTATGCCGCCATTAATTTTTTACAATTCAGCATTTTTTTATTGTTCCTTTTCTTCTTTGAACTGTCATCAAAGTTGTATCGTAGCAATATGAAAAATGACGACTTTAATATTTAAAACCGTCAAGGGTCCGAATATGAATGACGTCAATTAAAAATGGCAGATCTGAAGTTTCCTGATGACTTGAGTCTTTCCAATTATACTGTAATGAGTTCTTAAATGAAAATTGACAATTTGTAGGAAAGAAGCTAAGTTGATCAGCTGGAAATCCTTGCAAGCTGATGGATGTAAGACTCAAAAGTCCATCAAATAGTCGTCAACTTTTTCAATTTCCTCGAGTTATTCAGAACAAATAATAAAAGTTGACATCGCCTCTAGCCTTTTGGACGTCAAGTTTCAACAATCCCTAGTGTATATCCCATTTGATAATTATTTCATTCGCTTTGCTCCTCAGGTGTCTTCATTTATTTAGATCGCATCAATTTACAGACTGATGATGAAAGGAACGAAGTAAATAAAATAAAACACAGGAGAAGATTGATTTAGCCTCGATGACATTCGAGACAAGAGTTCATGCAGATTGACATATTGAATAAATTGAGATCACATTAAATGGACGATAGTGGACGGAGGAGATGAGAAAATGATAGGCGTTTAGGGATTTAGGATGGATTTTTTATTTGGAATCATCGTCAGAAATTGAAAGTCATGACATTTTGGCTCATGGTTGTCAGTTGAAGGCTACAAAGCCTAATTGATGAAAAAGCTAGTTAACTCTAATTTGGCAGTGCTCCATAAATGACAAATAATTCCCATTAAAACCTTAACAACGCTGATGATTCCAATTGCTCTTAAAATTCAAACAAAACTCGACTCAATTTTTAATGGAAATTTTTAATTGGAATCATAAAATACAGCACAGCACACAAAACATCCGATTTTAACAACTTTATGATTCATATCATCAAAGCTTTTTAAAATTGACTTCTTACAACCGAATTACGATGAAAATATCTCATATACAGCAATTACATAAGCTGTGCTTATGTTCATGTACGAAGTTACAAGGAGGAAATGCGTCATGGTGATTCATACGATTTTCGCTACTTATTTTCTTCTTTAATGTTCCAAACTTAGCCGAATGTAGAAAAATTTGTGCTAAAATACAACGAGTTTGTGGATGGTTGGGATGTGAGTTAATGAAGCGCTTTTAATGTCCATTATTGAACATTTAGTGTATAAGTACAGGAAAGTTTAGACGAGGTTAGTTTTATGTTTAGAAAGGTCTGAACATCATCCAGAGCAGAGCATGATCTAATTTCGTGCATTGAGATTCTAGCTTGTTCAATTGACTTAAGCCCTAATTTTTAAACCCATTTTCAGAGCTATAAATCTGACAGAAATAGCTAAAAATCCAAATCATTCAATGCCTTAATGTCATGGACGATAACTCTGTTTCCAAGCTTCATCAATTTAAAGAAGGTCACGTAAAATATTCAGAAATCAATTTTGAACGTGAAACCAAGGCAATAAAGCTTGAAGGATGCTTAGTCTTTTGACAGTGTCTGGATTATTATTTTGTGTAAGCTTTTGGAAAATTATTGAAATTGGGAATCGTTCATAAATGACGTCTACAAAAATGCTTTGTTCCTTCAAATCCTATTTAAAGTTGTAGGACTTCTTTTTTTAGCTGCCTTATTAGAAATGATGACCAATCAAAAAGAATTTAAAGCTTATCCATAGAAAATTGACCAAAAAGCTTGATGAAAGTAGATTTTGAAGCCAATTCTACAAAGATACTCAATTATTTAAATCCATTAAAACCATAATTCATTTATATCCATGATTCATACAAAAATGTCAAAGCAAAAAAGAATTTTCGATTCGGATGCAAAGCAACGAGTGTCGATGGCTCATGGACAGTAATCACATTACTCAAATACGATAAAAAAAAATTCCCGATACACATGCAATAACTGTCTTCACAGGAAATACGACATTAAATCATGGATGTCAAAATATTTTATTGATTTCGAAGACCTTAAATCGATTGGGACATAAAAGTTTATGCTGGTGCTGAAAGCTTTTAATAACAAAGCTTGTTTATGAATCTCTGTGTCATGGAATTGATGGCCTGAAGGATGTTATTCCATCAATTGCGAATTCAAGTATGAGTTGAGGAAGGAAGTATGCTCAAAATCCAGCAAATTCACGCCATTCAACTGAGGATTGTTGTTCTTAATAAAATGAAAAGTGACATAATGGATTTAATGGATAACAATTGAGTTAGGATCGAAAGAGAATTTCATCCTTGGTGATGTTTTTACAGGAGGTTGCCTTGCTTTATTTTAAAGATTTAGCACTTTTCATCTATTGGTGAATTTACAAGTTGATTAATAGCTTCGGATTGAGATGAGTTAAGCAAGCCTTAGTGTCTATGTTTTGTGAGAACTGATGTTGAAATGTGTATTAAAATAGATGCTGGACATTCAGATTGTGGAAGTAGTTTTGAAGATTTTCGGATATAAAATGAATTTGCTCATAGCTATCACGTACCAGGTCCAAAGATGCTGTCTTTATTAATTTTGTATAAAATCAGATCGACATTTTCATATAAAATTTTTGTTGACTTCAACCCGTTTACAGCCATATCACTAGATTTCTCCTTTAGAGACCAAATAAATCATGGCTATTGTTTACCACAATCAGTACTTTTAAAAAATCATTCAGGGGCCGTTCACTTATTACGTTCGCACTTTAAAGGGGATGAGGGGTTTGAAAAATTGTAACAAAATGTCACATAGGGGGGGGGGGGGGGGGGGGAGTGGTCAAGAAGTATGTAACGTTCTAATTGTCGACTGTCTTTTAAAAAAAAGTTCACGAAACAAGTGTATCGGGTAGAAACCTATACCTAATTTATGTCATAATTATGTCAGCTACAAAAACACTTAGTTTGAATTTTGTCACCCTCGGGAACACTATGAACCAGTATAGCTGATTTTGGTCCAAATCTCGGCCATACTTCACACTTATTTGAACCACATTTTCTCGTAAATGTTAAAATATCATTAAAAAGTAATTAATCCTGAATTATGTCGCTATTTTGTCAAGTGTTTTAAGATAAAGAATTTGTTTTTTGGTTTCCACAGTGAAGAGTATCAACAAAATTCAGATGGGGTAGTCGAAATTTTAGATTTCGATTTTTTTTAAGCTATGCATCAGAAAAAGTAATATTAATATGTGATTTATGTCAGAATTATGTCAATTCAAATAAAACATCCAAAAAATTTTTTTGACCAAAGTACACCATTGAAAATCAATTTTCAATTTTGGACTAGGGGCGACCCTAGTCAAAATCAATTTTGTCACTTTTTTCTTCGAGGGTTTATCCAAATGGATTGAAACTTTGCATAAATATTTTAGTGCTTAAAACAAATACAAATAAAAAATCCTAAAATTTTTTGAGCAAAGAACCAAGAACGAAATACATTTTCAATTTTGGACTAGGGGCGACCCTAGTCAAAATCAATTTTGTCACTTTTTTCTTCGAGGGTTTATCCAAATGGATTGAAACTTTGCATAAATATTTTAGTGCTTAAAACAAATACAAATAAAAAATCCTAAAATTTTTTGAGCAAAGAACCAAGAACGAAATACATTTTCAATTTTGGACTAGGGGCGACCCTAGTCAAAATCAATTTTGTCACTTTTTTCTTCGAGGGTTTATCCAAATGGATTGAAACTTTGCATAAATATTTTAGTGCTTAAAACAAATACAAATAAAAAATCCTAAAATTTTTTGAGCAAAGAACCAAGAACGAAATACATTTTCAATTTTGGACTAGGGGCGACCCTAGTCAAAATCAATTTTGTCACTTTTTTCTTCGAGGGTTTATCCAAATGGATTGAAACTTTGCATAAATATTCAAGTGCTTAAAACAAATACAAATAAAACATCTTAAATTTTTTTGAGCAAAGAACCCAGTAGGATATACATTTTCAATGAGAAGACAGGGTCGCCCCTAGTCCAAAATTGAAAATGTATTTCTTACTTGGTTCTTTGCTCAAAAAAATTATAGGATGTTTTATTTGTATTTGTTTTAAGCATTTAAATATTTATGCAAAGTTTCAATCCATTTGGATAAACCCTCGAAGAAAAAAGTGACAAAATAGATTTTGACTAGGGTCGCCCCTAGTCCAAAATTGAAAATGTATTTCTTACTTGGTTCTTTGCTCAAAAACATTTAGGATGTTTTATTTGTATTTGTTTTAAGCACTTGAATATTTATGCAAAGTTTCAATTTATTTGGATAAACTCTCGAAGAAAAAAGTGAGAAAATTGATTTTGACTAGGGTCGCCCCTAGTCCAAAATTGAAAATGAATTTCCTACTTGGTTCTTTGCTCAAAAAAATTTTTTTCATCCAAAGTTTAATTTAAAAAAAATCACAGTGAACTTTTAATTTGAAAAATTCGTAAGAAAGGAAAGTTTTTTGCTTTTTCTGAATTAACTGCTGTTCCTACCTTGCCCAAAAACTATACAGCTCTTCTATAGAGCAGCACGGATCAAATATAAAAAACTAGAAGTCTCTACAATGTCTTGTTATTGAGATTTCTTGCTGATTAACTTGCTTGTTTGCTTGTTTACAGAAAGCATATTTTGCGATTTTCTCAGCAATGCCGCAACCAATTTGAAATCTGTTTTTTGCAAAAGATGTGAAATTCAAAGCACAAACTTTTCATCTCTGAACATTTTAAGCTATCTTGCTCCATATCCTCACAAAATTCAAAAAACTGATTTTTCAATCTGTACAAAACCAATAGATTAATTATAGAACTGTAATAAATATTAAATAATTAATTAGATCATAGAAATAGAAACACTGTGAACTTGTAGTTTACTTCTAGTTTTATGACAAAGTTCCTTTATTTCAGTTTGATTTTATAATTAATTTTTGAGAGAAAAGTAAAAGAGAGTGAGAATGGACGAACGATGAGGTGAGAATAAACGATGTACACGTGAGAATAAACGATGTACGTAACTGATTCACACGTGAAAACGGTGTGAATATAAAAAATTTGTATACAAATAAAACATTTTTTTTTAAATTTTCCACCTTTTTAATGATTTATGAGTGTCCAGATATCTTTTGATAGCTAAGCAATACATAGTTTTTGTTATGTAAAGTAACAAATCAATAAAAAACTGGTTTACAAGACCTTAAAATACAATCATAATTTGTGGAAATTTTCAAAATTAAATCAATCATAAGTTTAAAAGTAAATCTCTCTAAATCTGTCATTCATATGATGATTAATATGATCCCATCATTGTGATATTTACATTCAAAGTTGATTGAATTTTCCAAAATTCGATCAGGCATAATATTTTTCATGACATTTTTGAATTTTCTTCAAAAAAAAAAAATTTTGCTTTATATCACAATCCAATAATTCATGAGAATACTAATAGTATCAATCAAAACATGACCTATTTAGCTGTACAGTATTTTGATGTTTAAGAAAAAAAAAATTCAAAAGAAATTTTACCGTCTTTTTAGAATAAAAAATTATCAAAATAAAATAAATTATGAACGTTCAGTGGGGGGGGGGGGGGGGGTGGTGAAAAAAGTCGTTTTTTTGCGTAACGTAATAAGTGAACGGCCCCTCATCCAGCCACCAAAAATCGACAATCTGAATTCAAAAAAATCCCAAAAAGATAAGAAAGCAAAAAAAAGAACAAAATAAACCCAGCATTTCCAAATCTTTTTATAGATGATTAAAAGGCATATTTTCCTTGCGTTTAGAATAATATCGTTTTTATTGAGAAAGAAAAAAATGAAAATCAATCGGCCTGTTTCACTAAAGTGGATTATCCTCGATTTCGGATTATCCACTTCAGTTTTTTGGAAATATCTCCAGACGCTTAAGGTTTTTAAGAGATCTAATGTGTGATCTAGTAAGAGTACTTTGCTACTTAAATTAACATATACTTAGAATTTTTATATCTTCATTAGTTTGAGAATTATAGCAAAAATCGAAGTTAATCTAGTAGATTTGGCTAGAAATTTGAATAATTAATACTTCTTAACGAAAAGCAAAAGTTTAAAGTTACAGAAATTTCAGGCATAGTTCACTCTATTATAATCCAAAATTAGAAATACCACACCTCCCATAAAGTTTAAGATATATGCAAAAAACTGAATAGGATAATCCGAAATCGAAGATAATCCACTTTAGTGAAACAGGCCGAATAAGATGTAAATGTACAATGAGATGGAAAAAAGAAAATCTTTTCATTCGTTCCTTCAATTATTTCACATTTAATTATCAAAATCGTTCAGTTACGTGAGCGAGCTCCTTACCAAGCTGTAATGAAGCATAAAAAATAAAATTGTTAAAAAATTCAAATTTCGTAAATTCCCAAAAAACAAACCGTAAGAATACACTGGAGCGGAATAAGTCATATGACTAACTGATGTCGATGGTGAATATTTGACTCCCAATAATGTTGGTGCTGCTGCAACTATTCAAGTCGTTATTGGCAATAAAGCAACAACAAAAATTAATTAAACTCGTTTAAAAAACTTTCTCACCTGCAATCGGAGCTTGATAGTGTGTCGGTGCTTGATATTGTGAGGCATGAGCATGGTATTGTGGTGCTTGATAGACTGTGGGAGCAACAACAGCAGGTGCAGCTGAAAAACAAGAAGTTTAAGTGAAAAAGTTTATTGATTATGTTCTGATAAAGTTTATGACACTTTTCTCCGTCAATAAGGGGAGGTGGAAGGGCTTTTAAAATATTTTAAAGTGAAGTTTTTGATCGGAAAGTTATTGTGATGAAATATGATAAGGAAGTTTCATATTGACTGCCAGATTTGGAATATAAAAAACCACAAAAAAATAAGTTTTTGAAATAATTCCTTAAAATCTATCAAAGCTGTTCATTTTGCTAATATTGTCAATAGTTCCTTGAATTATTACAGTTAATAAATTGAAGCATCTAGCCATATGTAGACGAATGTGTGAGTGCGAGTGGCTAGCTGAAGGTTCAATTCCCAGTTTTTTTCTTAACGCAACTAGTTCATAGAACTAGGATCCTCAAAATGCTTAAGGCACTAAACTAGAACTTTTATGCATACTGCGACTAGCTTGAGAACTTATCAAACTAATCCGAACTCAATAAAACTAGATTCATAAAATCCAGTTTAACCAGATTCAATACTCACCATGAATTGCGGCTGGAGCATGTTGATAAGCAGCGGGTGCACTATGATAAGCGACAGGCTGTGAGATTGCAATTCCTGGATTTGACACTCTTACGTCATGTTTAGAAACTGAGCTGTATCTATTTTGTATTGTGGGAAAATAACAAATAGAAAAGCGTGGATGAGGATTTAGAGATTCACGGGACTTTACATTATTGAATTTTATTTTTCATTCAGTACACAGCGAGTCGTATTGTCTGTAGTCAAGTATTGATTTTACAAAACTGATATCTTTTCTGTTTCAGTGAACTTTTTTGTTTTCTCGTCTTGTAAATATTATTTCTTGTAAAGACCCAAGTGTGTGTACGATAAGTCTTTTTTTAAGCCTCGAAATAAAAAGGTACGAGATTTTATCATCTCAACTCGAGTTGCATTTAAATGACAAATAATGAAATTACTTACGGTGTGTCAATTGTTTTTGAGTTGTAACTAACTTGCTGTAAATTTCCATAAGACCGCAAAACATTCTGATGTTCACTTGTGACGGTAGGAGCTATTACAGTTGCACCATTGTAGTTTGCAACACCAGCAAAACAAACTGATGAAAATGCCACAAGAAGAACGAACTAGAAAATTAATTGAAACTGTTTTATTTTGTTGATGCACACAAAACTTTATATGCTCAGTACTTACTCGGAGCATTGTTTTGAATTGTTTTTAAGGCACAAATAAATAAATAAATGAACTATATTCGCACAGACACACTTCGTACTAGTTACGCAATTGATTTCAATATGAGCAATAATGGACATGTTTGGTCTCTTTTTATAGCCTTAACGAGTTGTGAACTGTCTTTTCTTCTTCCTTTTCATATCTCATAACGTGAAACAGAATAAAGTAAAATAAAAGAATAATAAAAAGTTCAAAAGGAAATCATAAAGAGTCATTTTATAAATTATTGAAAAGTTGATGTTGACTTTTGATTTCAGATTTTAAAGCGCAATGGAAGCAAGTTGACTTTTAATTAATTTAAATTCATGAGACATGATACTGGATATAAAAGTTTCATGAACATGAGAATACTCGAGATGAATTTCTCAGAAAATTATTTCGTTAATAGCCTGGCATAGATTTCGTAATTAAATTTAGAAGTTTTGACAAGATAAGCTTGTGCCAAAGTTATACGAAGACTACGTAATAGAATATGAGCAACAGATTGAAAACAACGAAAACATATTTTTTGAGTAAATTTGATGGAGATGTTTTGGAAGAATTGGACTAGCTTTGATCATTAGTTTGGAACTATTTTGAGCAATTTGAGGTTTCATTTAGAAGCTACAAAAGAGTCCACGTTTATAAGGATTTCTTTTTCAATTTAATTTGCTTCCTTTGTGTAGTTTGGATATGTATATTTGAGTATAAACTTAAAACAAGCTTTAATCTTCGTAATTAGGTTTTGTAAGATGTTGGTCATCATTAAGACCCGATGTAAGATTGGTTCTAACTTCTCCTGATCATACAAAACCTTCATACAATCAATATACCCATTCCATTCACATTGAACAATCAGCACCTGAAATAACAACCAAAAATACATTCTATTAAGGATACAATCAAAACTACAGAGCTCTATGAATATATATACAGATCCTGTTGATGAAGGTGACTACAAATATTCAAAAAATAAATTTCAATAGAAAAAAACTTCCCCTGCTATTATCTGAAAATTGAATTGAAAGCCAACATGTAGTCACGAAAATGAGATGTTATTGTGGTATCAGAAACTAATGTATTGTCAGCAATAAAACATGGGTCAAAAATGTCAATAGGGGGTTTAAAAAAAACTGCAACTGGGATGGTCACACATTGTGAAATACATTAGAGTAAATGCTCACATTTAATAGAGCATGAATAGGCCCAAAAAATTCCTTGTTCAAAATTACACGATTCAGCATAAAAAATTTTCCATGAAACATTGTATTTGCTGATATGGACAGATATTGAGTGAGATGGAACAGTTTTGTGTACAACAGCTTCAGGGGAATAAAAAGAACAGACCATCAATAATAATCATTGACACCAATAAAGCTCATCTATCAAATATTTTCCGCGAAGCAATTTTTTTAGCGATAATTCACAATTTTTAAAGAAAATGAAACATTTTTGCAGCATAAAGTAGAGCAATAATTCCTTTTAACGACTCACAAAGGCCGCTGAGTGACACTTAGATGGAAGAATAATAGGAAATAATGACGAAATTATTTAAAGATAACTTCTGGGCTTGTATTTTTCTTGTTTTAAGATTTTTTCAGATATTTCAGATATTTCTGTGAAATCAGATGTGATTGAAGTTCTTTGGCGTTGTAGCAGAGTGGAATCTAGAGGATCGAGCCAAATGTAAACGAATCTGTAACTTCAAAGGTATGGTCAACATGTTCTGCCTAATCAGACAGACTAATGCTCTCTTTTGTAAGAAATTGAGTTCGATTCTCACCAGAATCTAATCTCTCAATCAAAACTGCACTTGAAATTCAATTTAAACTTTCAAAATAGCCCAAAAAACTTCAAACTCGTTTAAAACTCCCAAAACCATAGAAAAAGACCAAACACTTAGTCACGCATATTCAATGTCCACACATCAAGTACGAAGCATGCGATAAAGCTATAAAAATAATGATAATGAACACATAGGTTCATAAAAGTACATTTTCAATGCGACAAAAAAAACCTTTAAGTACAGTGAGTGTAAATGAATGTCCCCAAGCCATTATCATTATTCGAGGCAATATCCTGAATTTGTATCAAATTCATTGAACATTTATGGTACAAATCCAATAAATTATTCAGGTTTCTTTGTCAAGTTGCTTCAAAACGAATTTTACGACATCATCTTAGTAAAATTTATTGAATAAGCTTTATGATCATGTCTTTCTACCCTCCAGAAGATGTGAATGTGGTGAGTTTGTGGAGAGTCTTAAAGAGTCTCATTTTGGATGAACTTTAATTCTGTTAGGAGCAAAGATGTCAAATGATTTTGAGCAATGGTTTGTGGCAAGGGCTTCAGCACTTATGGTGAGACTGCTGTACAGAAAAGATTCAAAATTAACATCCTTTTGAACCGTTTAATTCTTCAGTTTTACTGCGGCACTTGAGACTGCTATTTTACTTCTGCCTAGGCTTAATCCCCTTTCTACGCAACTGATTCAGAGTTAATGTTGTTTGTGCCAATAGAATTAGAGATGATACCTTTCAAGATGGGTAATGGGTCGTCATTCGAACGATTCATTCCACATTCATTTTAAAAGTTTCATTTTGGATTAAAAATGACATAATTTGACCTCAGATTAATGGTTTCTTATTCTTATTACATAATCTGCTTCTACATGATAAATAGATTATGTACTTGAAACTTTTATGTTACATCTCTCCTTCGTCTCATTACAACAGTCATAACAAGAACTTTATTTCGCTGTCATGACGATGAAAAATAAGTACGATTCAGTCAAAGTGACATGAATAATGCGTTCAACTTGCTCGCAATATGAGTGAAAAGCATTTATCTCCAACTCATGTTGTTAATGAACTCGCTCATTCAATTTCGAGTATAAATCCCTTAAATTAATAACAGAAATGACTTTTAACTACAAAACGAGAATCGCCTACAAAGAAAAAAGTTCTGAAGGGGACTGCAATTAAATCAAGTCAACCTTAGGGACCGTTCACTTATGACGTCCGACATTTAGGGGGGAGGGGGTTTAGGATTTTGTGATAGTTCAAACAATGGCAATTTTTTTCTATAGAATTTTTGTGACAGAGGGGGGGGGGGGTCTAAAAATCAGGTTTTTTGATGAACGTCATAAGTGAACGACTCCTAATATGAGAATTTTTTAAATACATTTAATAATAAAGAAAAGGTTTTTAAGCTCTTTTAATTAAAGATATATACTTAATGGCTAGACAATTCCGAACAATTTCTCTCTACTTGGAACATATTTTTTAGCTTAATTCGAGGGAATAAATTTTGGGATTTATTGAGGTCATTTTGGGATGCTTAAAGGTAGACTGACTGGATCAGTTAAGAGAATTTATGAATGTATGCCAAGTGTACATACGCCATTTAAATATCCTGGTTTTTTTTACTTCGTTCTGAACACCTACATAGCGAATTTCAATGTAAAGGCACATAAACTAGATATGGGTCCGTTTAAAAATGACGGTAAACATTTTTTAAGAGGTTCTTGAATATTGTGATAAATACTATTGAGAAGAGAGTCTAGGATTAACATGCGGTAGCAAATGAGATAAAAATCCATTTCTTCATGAACGTCATTTATGAAGACCCCAAACCACATCCAACTATTCATAAACATATTACGAAAAGTATCTGAAAATTAGGTTGGATTGCAAAAATGCTAAACTTTCAGTCTTCCGTAAACCATTTTTTTCTCAGAATAAGTTAACATCAGAAGTACATAAAGCTAGAATTCATGAACCAGATTCTAAACAGCGATGGTGCTATTATGTACAATCTGATCTTTTTGCATCTTTGCTTCACAATCCAAATAAATTCTCATTTCTGATGAGTAAAGGAGGAAGGTGGGCATTTTAGGAAGACGGGATGTTTTTCTCAAAACAGCTCCTTACATTTTTTTGAGTTCCTTAGAAAACGTGTTACACCCAAGGGATGGTGGGGGAGTTGGATGTCAAAAATGGTTTGTGCTACGAAATATTCGAACAAGCCCTTAGCAAATTGAAGAAACTTTTCTGACAACAATGTTCTGTAGCAAAACAATACCAAGAACTGAACAACAATTCATTGTCGAGTTTTTGCGATTTTCCATTTAATAGGTTCCAAGAAAAATGTAATCCGTAAACAACAAAATTCAATCCTTAATTTTCTCGAACAAAATGTTCATTTGAAACTTTATGCTTGATAACTCCATCCATTATCTCAAATTGTTGTCAATCAAAAGCATTTTTATCTAATTAAATCATCACAAAAAAAGAAAAATGCGTTGTCATGCCCACACTCACCTGCCGAAGAGTTACTCGCAATGTCATTTCTTTTCAGCAATAACAATAAAAGAGACAGAGAGAGACAATTATTTAGTCTTTCATTGAATAATTTTTTTTTTATATTCTTTCATCTCGAAAGAGAGCATTTATCATACCACAGTATGTACAGCCGACAACACAACATTTTATCACCTTTTGTCATGTTTCAAGGTAGCTTGAATGCTGAGTAAGTGAAGAAAGAGAGAAAGAATAATAAAAAAAGTTCATGGTTAAAATTTCATGCCTATAAAAATGGTTTAAAATTTCACTTTCTGTGGGACATTCTTAACACATTTTAAGGTGTCTCGTACTGAGATTAAAATAAGAAGAAGGTCAGAGTGAAAAGGTGGATAAATCACGGCAAAAGAGTTTATTCTTCTTTTTTTACAACTCCTAAATAACTCGAAACATTTGTTGACGTAATTTTTTCCAGACAACTGCTCCGTACCGGCTTTGATTTATGATACAACATTTCTTTTTCCTTGGAGGCATCTAACAAATGAGCTCATGCCAATGTCAAATGATATGGCAAATAAAATTAATGTCTTCCAGAAACTGCATTTTTGGGTTATATCTCTATTAATGCTTGCCAATCAGTTTTAATCAAACAGGAGTGATTATAAGTAAATAGAAGAGATTAAGTTTGTGGATTATCTGTTCTATGATGGATGATGTGAACGCATTTTGCAATTTGAAGACTAGAATAAGAAGGGTTTGAGGAAGCTGAGTCTAATTAAACGAGAGGTATATACTTAC